CTGTAATTGATAGTATTTGCCAAAAAACACGGAATGATAGTCTCTTACCATTTGGTCCAAGTGATGTTCTCATGGTATTTGCTACAGCCTTTGCCGCCATGATATGAGACTAAAAAAATGAAATAAACAGAAAAAACAAATGTTCAAGTTAACTACAATTTTAAGTTAATAGCATACAACTAATGATTATAAAATCTAATTATACATAGTTTCTACTCTCTAGAAGCTTCTGCATTTAAAAGTCAACACACAGGTGTAAGTGTGGTAACCTTCACCAACACCAGCTTGAGTAGACCATTCTTACGTAGAAGAACTGGAAGCTAGTGCTTTAACTCAGCACGTCTAGGAGGCAGGCTCTCCTACCTGCCCCATTTCACAGCTGAGAGCCTGGGCAGTCCGACCGGACAGGTCTTGCGAGATCATTCTGCCATGCTAACCTCACGCAGAGAGTCCAGATGTCCCTGTGCAGCACCTTGAACTATCACGTTATGGAGTACTGCAGAACCGTACCATTCTCTCCCACGGCTGAGCCAGTACATGGCCCATGTGAAAAGCCACCCTTGTCATGTGCCAAGATTATCCCTTTCCTGTTTGCACACATAATGTTTCCTTTGCTCCCAGTCTTGCTGTCGCCTCTGGATCCAGAGGACCCTACAGAAGTCCAGGGTCTCTCATCTTACTTCCGATCCTTTAGTCATCCAACATCCAGCTAACCCATCCATCTTTCTCAAACATGTTCTTTGCTAGTCTGCAAACCTTAAATGACTTCCTAGTGCTTCAACACTGAAGTCTGAAAGCTTCAGCGTTTCCTCCAATGCCCTTCACAATCTATCTGAGAGCCAGTTCCCCTTCTGGTGACGATGGTCCACTCTTATTCCCCACATATGCCCTCTGACCCTTGAAACAGTACAGTGCATACAAGGCACTCTGCTTGTCAAAACTCTGACTAACTTTCAAAGAAGTTCAAATGCACACGTTCTGTGAAGCCCTCCTGGCTCACTCCATCAGACAGGTAAGAAAAGTCAAACTTCACAGATCTGTGAAAATCCAGGTCGCCATTAAAATACACATTGACAGGGGCACTTGGGTGGCTCAGTGGGTTAAGCCTCTGCCTTTGGCTCAGGTCATGGTCTCAGAGTCCTGGGATGGAGCAGAGAGCGAGATCACAAGTAGGCAGAGAGAGGGGGAAGCTGGCTTCCCGCTGAGCAGAGCAATGCGAGGCTCGATCCCAGTACCTTGGGATCACAACCTGAGCCGAAGGTGGAAGTTTAACCCACTGAGCCACCCAGGCACCCCAGGTAAGCAGTTCGTAAGTGGGGATGGTTTTGTCCCTGGGCAGACATCTGGCAATGCCTGCAGACACCTTGGGTCGTAACAAATGGGGTGGGGGCTGCTACGGGCATGGACTGAGTGCCGCTCAAGGAAGAAGGATCCGGCCCCCCAAATATTAACAATGCCAATGCTGAGAACTCTGGCTTTAGACCACTGGCTTTGGTGTCAGCCAGAGGTGAGCTTGAATCATAGCCCCATTCTTCAATGCGAAGCTGCACCACCTCCCTGAACCATGGCCCCTTCTGAAGTGACCTCACGTAACCCTCCTCCTCAACCTGAGGGAGGTGTACTACCCACACTGAGAAACGAGGTTCAGAGACATTGTGCAAGTCAGTGAGAGAACCGTACGGCTTCTTCGCTTGTTTAAGATACAGAAACACCACGTGAACAGAGAGACCTCAGACCTGGCGATGCGACTCACTTTAATAAACCCTAAAGAAGTCTGTGTCCTCTCAAAGCTTCCCCTGCATTTTCTGTCAACATCTGTGTTCAGACGACTTTCTCACCTGCACTCCTGCCCTTGGTTTAATTCCTCTGGTCCTTCCTGTTCCCTTTCCTCCACCAGACCCCACTTCCTACAGTACAGTTCTACCTGAACTGCGGTTCTGTGGAAAACCCCCTTACTGGCTCCCCTCCCTTCGAGGATTAACATCTCCACTGTGAGGCATTCAGGCTTCCACGTTGGGGGAAATGCTGTTAACTTACACGAGACTGGGCTCCACCGAAACCACGCTGCTCTGTCCCGCTACAATGCGTCGCGTTTTCCTGCCCAGCCTTTTGCCTTTGCTGTCCCCTCTCCCCCAAATGCTACCTCTGTCCCATTCAAAACAGTGGCCCACCCACCCTCCGCCTTTCATCCACATCCACAAGGGTGATGCTAGTCACACGCTGCCTCGTATTCCTTGCACGATGGTCACGGGGGGGCATCTTCCACCTGGCGGTGCTTTTTCTTACTTAAGGGCACACGCGTTTCGTTTTTACGACACCACATCCCGCATCACGCCATGCAGAAAGGCGCTGAGAAATAAAATACTTTGTAAACGACTACGCCTCTAAGAAGTGACAAAAAGGGAGCCCCATCCTTTGGGGGCTGTTGCTTCTCCCCTGGCCAGGTGAGCAGAGAACACCCGCCCTGCGCCTTCCCGATGGAAACGCGATGCGAAGGTCCCGACCGGACAGTCGACGGAGGCGCGCTCAGTCTAGGCACCGAGCTGCCCCACCCAACGCAAGGGCGCCAGCGGCTCCGCCCCAACCCCCAAACCGGGATTAAAGGCTTCTACGCTGGCCTCGCCCCAGCTCAAGGAGCGGGGTGCAGGGCCGGAGAGGAGACCGAGCTCCCCAACCCTCCCCGGGAGCACATGGCGGAACTGCTCCTGGGCTGGCGCAGGCGCAGAGCCACCGGCTCAGGCCGCCTCCCCTTAAGACACCGCCCGCGTCCGTCCCGCTACCTTGAGAGCCTCAAGTCCCATAAGACGAGACTTGCGATCCTGATCCTTGATGATGAGGAAAGGGCGCCCATATTCATCGAAGGCGAGGGTCCCGACCGACGCCATGGTGCAGCAGCGGTGGTTAGTTTCCCCGAACCGGTGGCGACCGCTCCGGAACTCTGCACACGCCTTCCGCTCGCGGGAGGGCGCTAACGATGCGCGCATGCGCAATCCGGGCGCCTGAGACTTATTTTTCACCAGAGACCACTTTGACGCCAGACAGTACCTTCTGGAATCAGACGCCTTAGGAAACTTCAATCATCCAGGAAGCGTGGGGGGGGGTTTCGAAGACACGGGCGGGAAGTTAAAACCCACAAGCCGGGGGTAGATGAAACGCATTTGCCAGAGCTGTACAATGGAGAGTTTCTGGGTAGTGAGTCCCCAACGAGGACTCGTTTCCTTATAGCATTACTTTCTCCCTCCGTCCCACCCCGGCTCCGGGACGATGGTAGAGCCCACTCGGATTCCCATTCTCTTCCCCCTACTCCCCGCCTCCGTCTCCGCCCCCCTCCCGGACACGCAGGAAGTCTCGCGATGGAGGGAGAAGGCGGTGAGCCGGATGGGGCGGCGGGTTGCAGGGGTGGCGGCTGCGGGCCCCACGTCGGGCTGGCGGGCTGCAGAGCACCCCGCGGGCCGGGCGGGAGTGGGAGCCGGGGGTGCAGGGGGCGCGGGGCGCTCGCTGGTACCCGCACGCCGCTGCCGGCAGCTGTCCGGAGCGCCTTGGGACGAGCAGCTCGCGGGCGGTGCCCCACGCTGTTCTGAGTTGTGCTCCGGGGTCACGCTGGGTGCGAATTCTGCCGCGCGGCCGCTGACTGCTAGCTGGGGCTTCGGGGTGACAACCGCTTTGTGTCTCCGTTCCCTTGCCTGCAAAAAAGGCAGTAGTGACAAGGGCATCTGCCCGGCACAGCTCCAGAAAGGGTTCAGGGAGAACAGTGCCTGGCCCTTAGCACGTTCTGTTTAAGTGTTTGTTGAATAAATTCCCTTTTTGCACAAAGAGTAACTCGGGCAACGTGAGACAGCCGGTAGGAAGCAAGTTTGCACAGCCCAGAGCTAAGTTCCCAATCTTGATTCTGTCTTGATAGTACTCTGTCCTCGAAATCCCTTCTGCCGCTTCAGGGTCCTGGTCATGACCTCGTAACTTTATAGGGTTAGGTTCGGGCATAAAAAGTGATAAAGTACAGTGACCCTTGAACAGTTGCGCTGGTTAGGGGCACCCGTGCGGTCTAAACCTGTAGAGTCAGACCCCATGTGCAGAAAATGCATGTACAACTTTTGATTCCCCCAAAACTTTGCTGATACGTTGATGGGAAGCCAGTTTCCGTATTTTGTATGTTATAGGTATTACATACTGTATGCCTACAATAAAGTAACCTAGAGAAAAGATGTTATTAAAGTCACAAGAGAAAATGTTTACAATAGTGTATCCAAAAAAATACATGCTTATGAGGATCTGTGCAGCTTAAACCGGTGTTTTTCAAGGGTCTGCTGTACTAATCCATGGATCCTGAAAACACGCTAAGTGAAAGTAGCCAGTCGCAAAAGAGCACATGCTATATGATTCCACTCCTGTGAAATTCCAGAAACTCTGTAAGAGTCAGGAAGTAGATTAGTGGTTGTTTAGGGCTAAGTTGTGAAGGGGGTGGGGATGGTGATAGTTAAAGTTTAAGGGGTTTCTTCTTGAGGTGATGAGAATGTTCTAGAATTGACTTTGGTGATGGTTACACATATCTATGAATATACTGAAAACCTTTGGAGTATGTGTGTTAAATGGGCACATTGTATGGTATATGAAGCTGTTAAAAATTACGGAGCTCCCCCTGCAGCCATAGTACTGACACTAACAGTAACAGTAGCTAACAGTCCTCACTTACTCTCTTACTTAGAGCATTGTCTTATATGCATTATTATTTGTCTATTTCCAATAATCCCACGAGGGCACTCTTATTTCTGAATTTTACACGCGAAGAGCCTGAGCCTTGGCCAAAACTTATCCAATATTACACACTAGTTAAGTTCTGTGACTCCAGAACTTTATGACTCAAACCCTTTTAACCACTGTGCTGTATAATCGGAATACCGACAGTATAATTTTGCAGAGGTCTGACAGATGGTACTTTGACCTTTTAAGAAACAATCAAATGCATGACTATTTACTAGGCATGTAAAGTCCTCCTTATGATACTGAAAAGTCTAACTGCAAATGTACTTCAAACTCTTGCTTTCTGGTAAACACCATCACCTTCCTTATCTTAATTTTATCTTACCTCCAGCACCAGCAGGAGACTCCTGTTCTTGTTTCCACTGTGAAACCAGTTTTAAAACTCACTTCAGGGGACCTCAGGTGTCAAGAGCAAAGCTCCTCTCTGTTTGAGATGCTGGTGCTTGGTCACGGCCTCGAGCAGTGACTCACTGCAGCCGGCCAGTGTCATGTGTTCACCTCCGTACCTCACAAGTTGTAACAGATCACCATACTTCACGGGTATGGTAGGCAGAGGCTCCCCCCGCCCCACCCGGGTCCATGTGATAATCTCTGGAACCTGTGAATATAGTACACAAGAGAATTTATAAATGGGATGTTGTTAGGGCTTGAGATGGGGAGATCGTTCTGGCTTGTCTGGGTGGACCTGGTGTCCTCACAACGATCCCTATAAAGAAAAGGGAGGTGGGGGAGTCAGAGGTATCCTGATAGATGCAGAGGTTGGGGTGATGTGGGGCCACTGGCTAGGGAGTGTGGGTGGCTTCTAGATGCTGGAAAAGGCAACCAAATCCATCCCACCCTAGAGCCTCCAGAAGGAGCCTAGTGCTGCCAACGCATTTCAGATGTCCGACCTCCTGACCCGTATGATAGTAAGTGCGGGTTACTTTAACTCTAAGATTTCTCACTGCAGCATTGGGAAGCTAATCCAATGGGCCTTTAGAATCGCTTACTAATTCCTGAAACCATGAATGTTAACGTCTTCAAATGATAAGAATCTCTTGTCCCCCCCCCCCCCCCTTACTGTCTTCTGTTTCCTATGATTCCTGTGTTTTGGGCCCTCTCTTCTCTACTAGACTGGGAGCTGCTTCTGGGCGGCTTTGTTCCTTGTAGGGTTCAGCACATAGCCAGCGGTGGACACGGTTAGCATGTGCTAAGCTGTGTTCTAAGTGTGTCCCTTGCATCCATTTGCTTAATCTGCAGTGACCCTGTAATCCCCATGTTACAGCTGAGAAAAGCAAAATTCCCAGAGGTGAAGGGTCACACCAGTAGTCAGGTGCAGAGCCCAGATCCTCACCCAGGGGTCAGGCTCTTACTTGCTATGCTGGGCCCCTCTGTAATCAATTTCAAAATCACTTTCAAATCAGTTTCAGTCCTGGGAACTTGACTTCCTCTTAAGACTGTATTTTAAAGGGTAAAACTCAGGAGGAGTATATTTCAGGTTTCATTCATTTCTGTGTTCAAGTGACTGGATGGAGCTTGCTTTATTCCACACTGGTGGATTGAAATGATTTTATCATTTGTTCTTTTTGGATCTTCTTCAAAAATCTTTCTATTACCATACTATTTTTTTGGGAAAAAAATTTTGGTCTCCTATTATTTGACACTGGTATTAGTGCATCTGGACTGTAGACACCTAACCAAGTTGGATGTGGAATCTGTGTATCTTATTGGAAACAGGGTGGTAATTAGACATTTTAATACTTATTTGTGAAGTTTTGTTCTAAACTATGAAAATAGGGAGTTCATGGTTAACATCTGTATTAATGTGTGTTTTTATTAAATTCATAATATGTCAGAGAGGAATGAATACATTGTTTTGTTTTTTTCTTTTTGATATTATTTATTTGTTTGAGAGAAAGCGTGTGTGCATACACACTTTAGGGGGAGGGGGAGAGCCTGATGCGGGACTTGAACCCAGGACCCTGAGATCATGATCTAAGCCAAAGACAGCTGCTTAAACGACTGAGCCACCCAGACGCCCGAATACATTTTTTTCAAAGAATGACTCAAAAAAAAAAAAAATTAGTAAGTTGGAAAGAAAAGATTTTAGTTAGTCTCGCATTAGAACTGAATCGTTTTCTCAGAAACGCTTCAGTTTAGTTGATGGAATTTAGAACTCATGGCATCCTACCGCTGTAATTAGGTTGTGTTTAGCTAAATCATCCTTTAAACAGTATGAGTTTGTCAGGAAGAATTATAGAAAAAAAAACTACCTTGGATTTCAGATTGGTGTGATGTACCTGTTTCCTGCTTGCTTTCCATCTAGGTGCACCCCCAGAAGTCCTTGAAGAAAATGAGTCAGGATGCGTCCCACCTGCAAGTCGCGGAGCCAACGGTTCAAAGAGAAGCAGTTGGGGGTTCCTATTTACTGGGATTGTTGGCGGGACGCTGGTGGCTGTGTATGCCGTGGCCACACCATTTCTAACGCCAGCCCTCCGAAAAATTTGTCTGCCTTTTGTACCTGCAACTACGAAGCAGATTGACAATGTTGTGAAAATGTTGCATTGCAGAACAGGATCCCTGGTCGACATTGGCAGTGGCGACGGGCGTATTGTGAGTTATGCTAAGACGCTTGAAGTTTTGAATTAGAGGTTTTAAAATTCCTGCTTCGTTTATCTCTCTCTCTTTCTTTCTTTCTTGTATCTAGTTTTTATTTAAATTCTAGTTAGTTAACATAGATTGTAGTATTGGTTGCAGGAGTAGAATTTAGCGATTCATACCCAGTACTCATCACACGTGCCCTCCACAATCCCCGTCACCCATCTAGCCCATCCCAGCTTCACCTCATTTATGAGGTTTATGCCAAGACCTGCTAAATCGGACAGTTTAGTAAAGTCATTTATTTTGTGTGTTTGGCTGAACTCTCAAACCCTCCAGCATGAACTGGAATTTTTTTTTCTCAGATTTAATTTTTCTGAAAGGTGGAAGTGCTCTGTAGATTTGCCAGGTAAAAAGGAGCAATTAATTAGTAATTAAGAAATTTTCCAATAAAAAAACCCGGGCCAGGAGAAGTGGTGTTAGAGGAAACATGGAGCCCTGTAGTTTAACATAGACATTTGCTTCTATACTTGTCTTTATTTATACATTGTAATGATATCTGTGGGGTCATGTAGAGTCAAAATGGGAAAGAGCCAGTGCATTAACCCTCACTTATCCAGAGATGAGACTTTGAGTGATCTCAGCTCCCTGACTCCAGCGGAGAACCTATAAGTAAGATTCAAGGCCACTGGCCAGCGGGTGTCCCCAGCATGTCCCTCCATGGGCACGGTGGCACCATCCTTAGGACCCAATCCACAACACAACCTAATTACAGCGGTAGGATGCCATGAGTTCTAAATTCCATCAACTAAACTGAAGCGTTTCTGAGAAAACGATTCAGTTCTAATGCGGAAAGTGAGGATAGCAGTAGTCAGGGCTCCTGTTCTGGAAACATTTGGGTGGAGACCAGCAGGGGCTTGACTCCTTTTACCACCCCCTGGAGCATGGACCTTGCCATGCTGTCCTGATGACCCAGATAGCCAGGATGAGGTTAAAACATAAGCATATTTAGAACATAAAAAACTTGTTTGTTTTTAGGAAATCAAGAGGTATATCTGTGAACCAGGAGAATGTTTTAAAACCCAATTATGGGGGCGCCTGGGTGGCTTAGTGGGTTAAAGCCTCTGCCTTCAGCTCAGGTCATGATCCCAGGGTCCGGGATCGAGCCCCACATCTTAAATCTTAAAAAAAACCCCAACCCAGTTACGAATGCTTTACCCATCTGAGTAGTATCTTTGTGGTTTCCTTTTCTCCTTAAGGGGGTAACACTACAGTTAACGAGGGAAATTAACTGTGGGTGGACAGCTCCTTCAGTGATGGGAAAACAGAATGAGCATGGACCGCAGGACCAGCCCACTGTCCTCAGCTTACAGAGGCCTGTAGCCTTCTGCAGTCGACTGTATTGTGACTCCTTCCCTTTTACTTTTACCTGTTTTCAACTTGGGGTGAGCAGTCTTTAAGTACTAAGGAAGTGTGTAAGTAGTTGCAGGTTCTCATTGACAGGTCATTTTTTTTTTCTTTTTAAGATTTTATTTATTTATTTGACAGAAAGAGATCACAAGTAGCCAGAGAGGCAGGCAGAGAGAGAGGGGGAAGCAGGCTTCCCACTGAGCGGAGAGCCCGATGCGGGGCTCGATCCCAGGACCCTGAGATCATGACCTGAGCTGAAGGCAGAGGCTTTAACCCACTGAGCCACCCAGGTGCCTCTGACAGGTCATTTTGATCGAAGATTAGAGCTAGTTCACAAAACATTCTCCCAGCTGATTCGTTTTGCCTGCTGCTCTGCTGTCACTGATGGAGAGGGATGCTGGGCTTTCAGGGACTGCTCGTCGGGCGGAGCCAGGGGTTGGCCAATCCAGAAATGCTCTGTCCAGAGCAAACCTGACAGTGGTGGTGCTCCAGGTGAAATCTTCAACAAAAACATGAAAACTGAGTTTAAGTCAGCACTGTCTTGTCTGCAAAGCTACATAGTTTCAGAGATCTATCTTTAAATGGATTTTTAACAAAAGAAGTGCCTTTTGATTGGACATTTTGTGATTATAGACCATAAATAGGAAGTAGTCCTATCAGTGGGGCACGTTAAGTTGCTGTTTTTCTTTTTTTTTAAATTAAATTAATTAAAAAACTCTAAGTTTATTTTTTAAATTGCAGTATAGTTAATATACAGTGTTACATTAGTCTTAGGTGTACAGTACAGTGATTCAGCAATTGTTCGCGTGACTCCGTGTTCATCATGGTAGTGCACCATTAATCCCTGTCACCTAGTTCACCCACCCCCCTGCCTGTCTCCCCTCTGGGGACCAGTAGTTTATTCTCTGTATTTAAGTGTCTGGTTTTTTTGTTTGTTTCTATATTTGTTCATTTGTTTTGTTTCTTAAATTCCACATATGAGTGAAATCATAGGGTATTTGTCTTTCTCTGACTTATTTCACTTAGTATCATACCATTCTAGATCCATCCATTTGTTGCAAATGGCAAGATTTCATTCTTTTTTTATGGCTGAGTAATATTCCATTGTGTATATGTACATACACCACATCTTCTTTATCCCTTCATCTATCACTGGACACTGGGGCTGCTTCCATAATTTGGCAATTGTAAATAATGCTGCGGTAAACATGGAGGTACATGTATTTTTTCAAATTAGTGTTTTCATGTTTTTTGGGTAGATACCCAGTAGTGGAACTACTGGATCATATGGTATTTCTGTTTTTAATTTTTGGGGGACCCTCCATACTTTTCCACAGAGGCTGCACCAAATTCACATTCCCACGCATAGTACGTGAGGGTTCTTCTCCACGTTGTCACCGACACTTGTTTCTTGTGTATTTGACTGGATCCACTCTCACGAGTGCGAGGTGGTATCTCATTGTCGTCCGGATTTGCATTTCCCTGACGGTGAGTGATGCTGAACATCCTTTCATGTGTCTGTTGGCCATTCTGCACGTTTCTTTGGAGAAATGTCTCTTCACGTCTTCTGCCCCTTTTTAATTGGATTATTTGTTGTTTTTGGTGTTGAGTTGTCTAAGTTCTTTACATATTGTGGATACTAACCCCTTATTGGATGTCATTTGCAGAGATCTTCCATTCAGTAGGTTGATGTTTTTCTTCTTACCTTGAATAAACACTGGCCTCTTTTTGCAGGTGATAGCAGCTGCAAAAGCTGGATTCAGAGCCGTTGGTTATGAATTAAACCCATGGCTGGTTTGGTACTCCAGATACCGTGCTTGGCAAGAAGGGGTGCAGGACTCCGCCAAGTTTTATATTTCAGACTTGTGGAAGGTATGTAAGGCAGAGGACGCTCCTAGGAAATGCCAACCAAAACTTTGTAATTCGCAATTACTATGATTAAAAACAATTAGTATGATTAAAAGAAAAACAGTTAAGATACAAGTGTATATCTCAGCATCATGAAGTGTGAACACTTTTTAAATTGATAGATTTATACGTTAACATTTTTAGAGTAGAAGCTTAAGGTCTTAGACCCAATAGGTCATGTGAATTCTAAGAATTTGCTCAATTAAAAAGTTTTCCTTTCTATTCGTTACAAAATGATGAGATACTTATTTCATTTGGAAATCTCATAAATTATCATCCAGGAATTAACTTGTTAATGGCCTTCTTGGTAGATACTAGACCCTGTGTGCATGTGTGCAAGTGTGCACATACACAGAGGTGTGTTTTTGTGTGTGGCTGTGTGTGTACATGTGTGTCTACAGAGAGAGATGAGTGCAAAAGAGAGAATCCTGTCCCCCCCCCAAAAAGAATCCCCTGATTACATTGTCATGGTTCTTTTTGGTCTTCATAATGTATAAGATACTTCAAGTTTATTTGTACTCTAAAAAAGAATGTCCTGTAATTTTGCTTTAGAATTGCTCCATGAAATGCTTTTTCTTAAATAAGAATTTCCCATTGTAATATTGTCATCAGTAGCTTATAAAAATTCACTTGAGTTTTGCTTGCATTGTTTTTTAGACTGTCTATGCATAAACGATCCCTCTATAGAGTAGATAAGACTTTTATTGGGTAATAAGAATTTTGACTGGCAAAGCACTTTTCTCCCAGTTTTTCAACTAAAGTTCATTTTATTCCATTTTTTACTTAGTCTTTTAGAGAAGAGGAGGGGGCCTAGAATCTTAAGATGGCTCAGCGTTACAGACAGGTGTGTGTCTGGTGTCACACGTTCCTGCTGAGCCCGTTTGGCATATGGTGGAGCAGGGTAGGAAGTGTACATCAGGGCACAGGTGGCTGAGGCCAACCGCACGGCCACCAGCTGGTCACTGGATGAGTCACTGGCATTTCGGACGGATGACCCCTGGTAGGCCTTGCCAGGAGCATCCTCGAGGGTGACAGCAGTGACTTAGGGAGGTGTTTGGACAGCGGCAGTGGGTCAGACTAACAGAAGCATGAACGTGGCTTCTCCTCGTGAGATCTCACATGGAGCCACTCTCTGTGGAAACCTGCCGTTGGATGAAATGGGGAATTGGTCCTTTAGAAACAAACGTTCAGCTTGATGTTGGCCTTTTAAAACTAATCTGCTCATCGCTCCCCCTCTCCTATAGGTTACTTTCTCGCAGTACTCAAACGTCATTATTTTTGGAGTGCCTCAGATGGTGAGTGTGTGGCCCCTGCCCCTGGTTAGTTGGCTTTAGGTCTTGAGCAGACTGGCCAGCGCTGACAGGCCACTTCCGTGTGGCTGCCGGCCCACCCCGGGGGGCCTGACGGCGGTGCCCCAGACTTTTGGGGTGGGGGACGTTGGATTTCACTTGACGGGCTTGACGAAGTACCTCGGGGCCTTAAAAGTTTAATCGTAGAAGAGTCAGTCATGTTGTTAAAACTTTGGCCTCGGATAAAATTCTCAATGATCTCCCTAAGCCCTAAAAACTCCAATCTGGAAACTACTTTATGAGCTCCCGGTGTCTAATGTGGTTGCCGATTTCCGTGGTTGCTCACCTAACAGCCAGCCGAAGTCACTTGGGAGAGTTAATGGCATGTTCCTTCTAGCTGATCCTTCCTCTGAGTTTGTAGGGAGGCCGTTTCCAGGGCTGGCGAGCGGCGGCTCGTTTCGGTTGGCCTCAGCTGACTGATTTGTAGCGAACTTAGATTACACCTTTTACAAAGTGGAAATACCATGGCATCGTGTTGTAAATGGCTCCAAACTTAGCTTTTGGAAAGATGACCAGGATAGGACGCTCTTATCGTAATTGTTGGTTCACAGACCACAGAGAGAAACCCCATTTGATTTTTCTGTAATTGTCGCCATAATAATTGTAGCAAAATTGGGTGTTTGCTGAAATGCCACAATATGACTGCTATGTATAGTTTGTAAAATAAAAAAAAAGGGGAATTTAGCTTTTTTGTGTTTTTTTTTTCCTTAGTCACAGCTTTTTGTAGAAGATGGCTGAGTGCTTGGGAGAGTTATCCTAACGATCAGGAACTTCAGGACAATGCCACTTCTGTGTTTTTTTTTTAAAGTCAATTTGGAAGTTCTGTTGTTACATGTGCTTGAAAGTAGCAGGATTCTATATGTTTGGAATTCTCAGTAAGCCTCAAATTAAGACAAAACGTGGGTGTTCACCCTCTTGTTACAGAAGTGCAAAGGGGCGTGATCCGTTGTCGTTTTAAAGGAACTGTTTGGGACCTTAGCATTGCCCTGGCCTTTGATGGTTACCTGCTCCTGATGGTGTTTGGGCAGCATTTTGGGGCAAACAGATTTAATTTGAGTTGCACGCTTTATTTAAAGGGAGAGGTGATGTTTACCGTGACTTCTGTGCCATCCTGTGAGGCCAGCCGGTGGTGGCCTGAGGTGTGGGCTTACGAGGCCACAGCAGCTACGCCCCAGGGGGGCGGGGCGTGGAGTGGGCAGCAGTGGCCTTGGGGGGTGGGCACGTCATTGCCACATGGCCTGTAGGCTCCAGCTCCGTGTGCATCTTACCATGTTTGAGCGTTGTAAGTTTTTGAAGCTGTTCACTCAGGAAATAAGAGGCCTGTGTTTTTGATGAATGCTTTTGCATTTACTGTCCATTTTCCTGTACACAGAGGAAACCTTAAATAAACACCTTGTGGCATCTCCCTGTTCCTAAGAAAAAGGGGAGCAGCTGAAAACACGGGACAGCCACGTACTGTGGGATGAGAGGGACTCAGCCAGTTTCCCACCAGGGGGCGTGTTCACAGGACCCGTGGGGACTCTTTCGTGGGTGCAGGGCCCTGCTTTTAACCCTCACGGAGCCTTGCCTATGTGGAGGCAGTGGAGGGGAAGAGGGAAAGTGCCAGCTGGGGGGTTAGGGGGCCAGCTGTGCTCTCTGGAGTCTGGGGGGCCCTGATAGGTCTGTCTTCAAGGAAGCGCACTTCCCTTGTCTGGGGCGCTGGTCGGCATGGTGACGTGGCTCGGCAGATCCTGTGTGGCACCTGTGTTCCCTGTGGCAGCCAAGCCACATGTAGGCCACGGGGGAGCCTGGAGGATGCTTAGGAAACTGGAGAGGTAGAAGCCTGCTGTTACCGGTCCTTGCCCCGCTCCCGATAGCACACCAGTGGTTCCTACCAGCTCTGTGCTTTTGTGGCTCCCACCCAGCAGAGGTGAGGGCTCTCATCTGGGCCTGGCAAATGCACCGGGCGTGGTAGATGACCACAGGTAACTCTAGCCCCGCACCTCTATTCAAATGTGAAACAGGTCTTGTCCTTGGGTGAAACCCACCTGGGACGTCTTAACTGCTTAAAAAAGCAGCGAGGATAAGGTATGGAGGCTCCACCAGGTCCAAGGCATGGTGCAGAGCGGCTTCCCCTGCTTCCCTTGGCTCTCTGCGCGTCAGCGCTCTGTCCTTCTCTTGGCCCCTGGATCTGCAGTGTGAGTTGTGTTCTTCCCTCTGGCTTCAGTCCCCCCAGCTCTGGCCCTAGTTGGTGAGCACCTCCTGACCACTCACATGTCAGGTGTCCTTTCCTCCAGGAAGTCATCCCTGATTGCCTTGTGAGACAAACCCCAGTGCCCTCATTTTCTATCCACTGGCTGCCTGTTCCCTTCTCCGGGGTGAGTTATCACACATCTCTTTACATGGTAGCCTTGGCAGGTTTGCCGCGGGCACTGCAACGTAAGTTCAAGAGCGAGCTTACCCCCAGCGTGGCCGCACCAGCACAGAGCAGCGACTCAGGAAATACTTGTCATGAGTAAACGTACCCAGTAAGGACACTTGGTGGTGGGGTATTGAATTTCATAACTTCAAGGACTAATTTTAGTTACGAATCAAGATGTGAACTGATGAGTGTAAATGTTATCATCATATTCTGATGAAGATAAATGATTCATGACGGGATCATGTGTCCTTTGTTCGTTCATTCGACAAGTATTTATTCGGTGCCACAAAGTGCCATTCTCTGATGACTTGGGATCCTTTAGTGAGTGAGCAAGAGGGACATCCCTGCCCCGAGGTGCCTAGATGCCCGTGGGGAGAGCAGATATTAAATGAGGTCCCTGTGTAGAGGGCACCAGGCTGGCTCGGTCAGTAGAGCACGCGACTCTGTCTCAGGGTTGTAAGTTTGAGCTCCGCAGTGGGCATGGAGCTTATTTAAAAAAAACAAAAAACAAAAAATAACAACTTAAAAAAAAAAGTGTCCAAGAGGAGGGCTAAGTGCTGTGGGTGGAGTAAAGCAGGAGAAGGAGGGACAGAGATCGTGTCCCTGGAAAGGGAACACATGGAGGTCTGGGGAACGTGCCAGGCGGAGCCACCCGCAGAGGCGCCCAGGGCTGGGTGCCCCTTGGGTTCCGGCAGCAGCAGGGCGGTGGGTGTGGCGGGAGCAGGGAGAGGTGGCATCAGAGAGGAGCTCGGGGCGGGGGTGGGAAGGACAATGTGCTGTTGGGATGCAGGAGCCCTGGCGGCTTTGAGCGGAGGAGCGGAGGACCCGCCTGGGGGCAAAGGGTCCCAGGCTGCTGTGTGGACACGGACGTGGGTGGGAGCCAGTGACAGGTTAGGAGCTCCTGTGGGCAGCCCGGTGGCTGGTGTGGTCGGCTCGTGCCAGTGTGCAGAAGCTGATACAGGCGGGCAGGTTCTGTGTGCGTCGGGAAGATGAAACCAAGAGGAAGCATTGGCATGGCCAGTGCGGGACGGGCGAGCTGGAGGAGCCCTTCGCCCAGGATTTGGGCCGGCAACTGGAAGTTGGCAGTTGTCGCTGAGCAAGGGAAGGTGCAGGCAGATCCCGGAGAGGGAGGACCGGGGAGCATGAGATGTGTGTGGAGCTCTGAGGCTGGCAGTGGTGGGTAGAGGGGGGCCTGGGGCTCAGGAAGGAGGGGCTGGAGACTGGCCTCAGCTCCCAGAAGTTGCTGAAGCCAGGAGTGGCTGAGGTTCCCTCGGGGAGGGGGCAGAGCTGGGCAAGGCCTGAGCTCCGGCCTCTGACACATGAGGGGTGCCCCGTAAAGACTCCAGAGGAGGAGTTGGGCAGGAGGAAGGCCCAGGGGGGTGGGGGTTACCCTAGAGGCCACGCCAAGCCAGTGTTTTAGGGAGGAGGGAGCTATCGCTTGGCTCGGGAGCTGCTCATGGGCATGGCTGTTTGGTCTTACATCGTTGAGCTGCTTTCAACTGATGTTTAAAGTTTTGAAGTTGTAATTAGAATATGATGAGTTCGTGTCGCTTTGAAGCCTCTAATTGTATGAATAATTTTGAATTCCATTAGACAGACATGACACATCGCTGCCTCTTTTTGTGGGTGATATCAAAACCCAGGTTCACTGCATATTTATGTGTGATTGACTCAGTTAATTTCTTACTGTTGAAATAGCTCCTTTCATTTGTAGGTTTATCTTGACTTAGCATAGGACAGTCACTGGGAAATAGAAGAAACTGTAAAAGAGAAAATAATAACGATAACGTGAATACGTTTACAATGATCCTTTTGATGAACAAAATTACCGTGAGAAACCCCTCTGATATTTTGGAAAAACACATATTGTCTCATTCTTTGCTTATTTCATTTTTCCCTTGAGGAACAAAACTTTTTTTTTTAAAGAAATCTTTTATTGGCTGTGGAAAGAGTAGAAATACCCCGTCCGTAATGGAATTTATTCTTGGTTATCTTGGTATTAATTGTCAAGAAGAATCAGGAGTTTTGGCTCACTCTAGCCGGAGGTCACATGGAGGACTTTCCTGAAGCCACTTTTTAAAGATATGGGTCAGGAATAAAGTCTTTGTAGAAGGACTATTGATTTGTTTGTCTTGATTTATTTGGTTAGTTTTAAAGGGATTCGTTTTTGCTCAGATCTTGGTATCAAGATACCATTTCCCATTTAGAGGAGCCGGGGATGTCTGAGAGGCGGCAGATCTGAGAGCTGAGGAGGGGGAGTGATACAGAAGCCTGGGGCATTTTGTGGAGCCCCAATATGAGGAAGAGTTCAGAGTGTTTGTTGGGGCGCATCCAGGGAAGAGAGAGGCCAACCTGAGGTGGCTGCCTGGGGCCAGACTGGGACAGGCTGAGCATCGGAGGAAACAAGAATGATGGTAGATTAGAACCCATTGAACAGAACAGGCATCTAGGTGCTCATACGTAACGGCAGTGGGCACACAGGTAGAGAGGAGGGAGAGCTCTTCCTTGAAGTAGAATGCTGACTGTCAGTCTAGAAGGAATGACGGAATCAGCAAATTGCCACTTTGCCACCATCTAGTGAAAATTAACGTGGGCCAGAATCATGACGAGGGCTACATCTACTGAGGGACAGTTCAGTGAGAAGCAGGATATTTACATCATTTCGAGCTACTTACGAAAAATTATTCGTTATAAGGGGACATTGGTAACCCCACTGTGGAGATAGCACCTATAACCCTAACTGGGTGGTGACCGTCACTCTCAAAGCAGAAGGTCCCCATGGGCACCCGACAACAGGGCCCTGAGAAGCTCCCAGCCCCACTTGTGGGGCATTGCCCAAGATGCATGTGCCGAGTCATGAGCCGGAGGCGAGGAGACGACAGGAGAACCCGAGGTGAGGACCACCGGTGACTCAGTGGCCCGTCTTCCTAAAGATGTCATCAGAGACAAAGGAAGATAGGGGAATTGTTCCAGGTGAAAGTAGACTAAGGACGCGTGATAGCTAAACGCAGCGTGACCTCGGGGGGAAAGTGTCACAGAGGATGTTATCGGGACGTTTGGCAAAATAGGAAGGCTGTTGGCCATTATTACTGGAATACAACCTTAAATTTTCCGAATTTGGTAACTGAGCCGGGGCGGCGTCTTAGGAATACGGAAGTTCTGAGGAGTCGAGGGGCATGTTGTATGGCAGCCTCTTCCCAAGTGGTTTAGGAAAAATATCCACAGAGGACGGGGGCGGATCTGATGAGCTGTTTAAAACCGGTGAGCCTGGGTCAAGACAGACGGGAATCCTTTGTTCTAGTCTTGCAACTTTTCTGTACATTTGAAATTCTTTCACAATCACGGAAGAAGTGAAAAAATAGTCTTAGGAGGTAAAGGTGGTAGGATTGGAAGATCAGTTTTTAATCTGTTATTAATTTGCTGATATAATTACAGGGTCAATACTTGTGGCAGGCAGATTGGTAATCAGAGGATACAAAAGTGGCACATCAGGGGGTTTTACTTTTTTTTTATATTAACAATTTTCAGGCTTTCTTTTTTTTTTTTAATTTATTTTCAGCATAACAGTATTCATTGTTTTTTGCACCACACCCAGTGCTCCATGCAATCCGTGCCCTCTCCAATACCCACCACCTGGTTCCCCCAACCCCCACCCCCGCCCCTTCAAACCCCTCAGATTGTTTTTCGGAGTCCATAGTCTCTCATGGTTCACCTCCCCTTCCAATTTCCCCCAACTCCCTTCTCCTCTCTAACTCCCCTTGTCCTCCATGCTATACTTTTTATGTTAGGTTGACAATGAAGAAGTTTTGCATTATAGATAAATTTTGAAGAATTATGAAATACTTCATTGTATTTCAAGTTAGTAGAATGAGCATATTGTTTCATGGTCTAATTTAGCAGAACCATATTTCACTTAGTTTAGAGGCTGTTAATTTTAGAATGTACCATTGCCATTGAAAAAGAAAAAAAATACCGCCAGTTGTAATTCTAAGACAATGTCAGCTGTAAGAGGTATCCTGATTTCCAAGATGTTAAAACATGTGGGAAATGTGTTAAATAGTTGAGATGGGGTAGATTAAAATGTTAGATGGGCCGATAATTTAAAGCTGTTTTTCATTTTTTAATTTATTTTTAAATAAGGGTATTTTATTTTATCTCCTGGGGGGATGGGGCAGAAGGAGAGAGAAAATCTCAAGCAGACTCCCTGCTGAGGGTGGGGTTCAGTCTCATGACCCTGAAATTGTGACCTGAGCTGAAATCTAGTTGGACACTGACTGAGCCACCCATGTGCCCCTGTTGTTAATATGACTTCTGTGTTTTAATGGATCATTTGGTAATGTATTTATGCCCTGAAGGGATCTTATGTGCAGTTAATAATCTTTTTTTAAAGATTTTATTTGAGAGAGAGGGAGATTGAAAGAGCACTAGTGGGGGGCAGACGCAGAGGGTGAGGGAGAAGCAGGCTCCCTGCTGACCAAGGAGCCCGATGCAGGGCTCGATCCCAGGACCCTGATGTCATGACCTGAGCCGAAGGTAGATGCTTCACCAACTAAGGAACCCAGGCACCCCTACAGTTCCTAATTTTTGCACAGCTACTTCCAGGCACTCAGGTCCAAAAGAACCTTTAGGAATCTTTCCCTCCGATTCACCTCTTACTGAAGTAACAGCTGTCGTTCTGCCCAGATGCCGCAGCTGGAGGAGAAACTTGCGCTGGAGCTTAAGGATGACGCCAGAGTCATTGCCTGCCGGTTCCCTTTCCCTCGCTGGACCCCAGACCACATCACTGGGGAGGGTGTGGACACCGTGTGGGCCTACGACGTGAGCACCGTGAGAGGCAAGAGGCCCTGAAGACCCGTGCGTTTCCAGTCGATCCTGGAGATGTAGATGTTACTGAGCGCGATTTTCCGAGTGTTGGTGGTCTTCGATTTTACAGAGACTTCCAGCTGTGTCTTCAGCAAGGAGTGTATTTTTTCTTCAGTATGGAATGAAAAACTATTACTTTCCTTAACTTCTGCCAAACAAACAGAAGTTAGAACAGCAGGTAGATTTAAAGTCTGTTTTCATGCTGTACTTCAAAAAGTGGCCTCCTTCCCTTCCAGGCACTTGGACATATGAAAACATGAACGAGTGACTATCGCGTTCATGTGCAGGAACGTGTGAACAGCCCTTCCCATTATAAAAAATATGATTTAATGCCACAGATGAAAAGAAACACTTTTTAAAGAGGGTGTGTGTGTTAGCAAATATTTGTAGTTTCCTCTAAGTTGATTCATACTTAAGATTTATGGATTTATGTCTTTCTTTTCTGTACTTCGTGGTAAAACTAATTTTGTAGAGGACGTAGGTCCTCATATTTTATAACATTTACTAGGAATAATTTGTTCCAAGGCTAGCGGATTACTGTATTTTTTGGAGTCGGAGATGTGTACGTGTGTGTGCACGTGTGTGTGGAGACACACATTTGAACATTTCTGAAACGGTGCTATACCTTCCAGTCGATGGTGTTCTCTGTCTGTGATGGGCAGTGTCGTGCGTCATGATATAGTCGGACATCAGCCGGCATGGATGGGTCTCAGGTTCGAGGAGATGGGCTCAGAGAAGCTCATGGCAGAGGGGAGTCATTGGTAGGAACATAATAGTAAAATAAGCAGGTGCGAGCTTGGGGCTCAACCAGCCCTGGGAGCACATCCCTGCCTGGCCAGCAGCAGGAGGCCCTGGACCGCTGGCTTGCCCTTGTGGAGCCAAGGACCCACTGGGATAATGATAGACTGAACAGGGGACTTTCTGGGGTAAACTGACGACACGAGGTCTTTGGTCTTTAAGTGGTGTTTATTATTTTAGATCTTAAAGGCAAGCTTATTCACAGAAGTTAGGGGTTATTTCTGCTAGTCACTTCTTGACTTTGTGAAAGCCGCCATTTATGTAATATTTCTCATTTATGAGAAGAGACTTGACTGATTAGATAAAACAGTGAAGGAAAACCTTTGATTGTTGGTAGACAAGCTTCATGTATCTGATGTTCGTATTAAGTAGTGGCTCGAAGAATCCCTGTGCATCACGGGAAAGAACAGAGCTCCCGACTGCACACACCTGTGACCTAAGTACCAAACCGGCTTCATGGAGGTTTGCAAAAGTGAGAAAGTGAGAGCGTTTTTAACTGAACTAAAACGGATCAGCTTGATAATCGCCATTTAGATGAGCAGCGACCCAGCCACTCACTCATTCCTTCAGCAAACATTTACCAAGTATCTGCCGTGTAAGGAGCTTTTCCGACTCAGCGGTGAATAGACCTGCGAGACCTCTGATCTTACGGCCTGTGTGTTCTAGAAGAGCGAGACCGGCAGGTAGGGGAGTGAATGTTAGTGTGTGTGACGTTCTCTGAAGGAAGTCAGCGGCGTGGCTGTCCCGTGCACGTGTCAGATTTTTGGCTGCTGAGGTCCATCCCTTCCCAGCGGCCCCCGGTTTCTTTCTGAGGAAGGAATTCTGCCCGGTGGTGTGTAGTGTGGTCTGCACCTATCTTCCCTGTCACTGCCGTCAGCCCTGTGACCGGCTGGGTGTCCCCAGAGAGGGACCCACCAGAGCTCCCTGCCCGGCAGGTGTAATGCGTGGAGGCCGGGTTCCGTGGAGCCCTGGGTGTATTCGGTAAATTTCTGAAGACACACTCCTGGCCGCTAGCTGGAGGCATCAGGTGGTTCTGCAAAGGCATATGCAACTTGCTGTTCTTGGTTTCTCCTTTAGGTTCCCAGGAATTAGATGATGGCTGGTCCTGCAACCTCAGAATGAAGTAGACCATTTCACAGAAGTGTTGAGGTTCATGGAGTTTATAAGTTCTTTAACTGATTTTTTTCAGCTGTGCCTCGAAGTGACCCGTAAGAATGTTCTCATGGGGTCATCGTGGCCTCTCTGGCTGGTTTCAACGATCGGTCGCTAGGTGGGCGATGTTGATTCAGTCTGCACACGACACGAAGCGGGAGCGGGAGCTGCTCTTTTTGATGTCAAAAGTCGGACTCAGAACTGTCTGGCAGACTGAAATCAGGCGCAAGTGTTACCTTGATAAAATGGGAAGTTCAGACAAACAACCAGACAAGAACAGAAGTGAGCTGAGTGGTGCCGTCGCCCGACGGGAGCCGCGTGACCAGTCCTGGACGTCCCGTCGGCGTTCGGCTCCGTGGCCTGAGCACACTCCTGTCTGCATCTTTCTCTAAGGGCTCGGCCTCGGTTGCAGGCCCTGCCCTCCCGGGGTCCCAGGTGGGCTTCGTCAGACCCCCTGCCGGTTCTGACATCCGGGCCCCCGGGAACGCTGAGCCCCGCCGAGAGGCTGCGCACCCAGGTGTGCACAGCCGAAGATCCACATTTGCAGGTACATGTGTTCCCCACGGCCGAGCGACAGCGGCTGCCGTGACAAGCCACAGCCGAGCAGGACAGGAAAAGTGCAAGATTCCTGATGTTTCCGCCGCGCAGCTGAATACCACGGCTCTGCCCACGTACTCTCCCCGATGGGCCGGGGTCCGGAAGGGGTGCCGTGAAGGGGTGCCGTGAAGGGGTCCCGTGAGGGCACGGACGGGCTCAGTGCCGGCGTCTTCGGAGCGGGCGCCGTGAGCCGTGTTTCCTCGGCTGCCCACAGCCTGAGCGTTCCTCCCCGGCCCCGGGCTCCCGGGTGTGCAGGCCTCCACCCCGGCCCTGTCCTGGCTGAAGGTGAGGGGTGCTGCTGGCTCCGATCCCGTGGCCACGTCCCCTCTTCCTGGGTGACAGGGCCCGGTGCTTCCGCTGTCAGGCACTGGTGTGTTCGGACACTGTGGGCCCGGCCAGTTGTCCGGCCCCATCCCCTGGGCGTCAGGGCAGCTGGTGGGCCGTGGGCGTGTGATCGATCCACGTCCTGCCAGTGAGGTCCGAAGGGCCGTCTGCTGGGAGCTTTGGGAAAGGTTTCGTTGTCACAGAAAGAGGTGCTTGAGAAGTGAGCGTCCCTGCTGTCCTTGGGCAGGAACACTGGCCGTCGTGGCCCTTCTGCAGCCGCCGGGGGAGAGGGAAGCTAGGAGCCAGGGGATGGTGGAGCAGAAAGACGGACAGACTGGAGGTCCTCGACGAGACCCCAGAGTAGCTGACCTGGCCTGGAGCCTCTGACTTCGGGATATCTCAGGTGAGGTGACAAACCCATGCTGTTGCTGTCCCACTGGTGTGGTGGTGCTTGTGCCCTGTGGCGGCCTGGCCGGGACAGGAGGCTGTGAGGTGGGGTGAGGGAGCCCGGCCTTGTGGAATGCAGGCATCTGGACGGCGCTGCATGAGAGCACACTCGCTGGCAAGGTCAGAAGCGCGACTCGAGAGGGATCAGGAGCTCCTGTGGAGGGAGGCCCCACTCCCAGAGGGGTTTTTGGGCCATTGGACCAAGTCAAGGGGGCTCTGAACATGGACCTTGCCTTCCCCAGCAGCGGGAGTCCTAGGTGGGTTTCCTGTTCTTGGGGACATGGACAGGGACAAGTCACAGCAGAGCCCAGCCACAGCCCTGCTCCCACAGAGTTTTGTGGGGGGAAAGATGATTTCTCAGGATTAGAATTAATAAAAGCAAGGTGGGAAAACACGCAGACTGCTCCCTGAGTGGGGGGCAGCCGGGGCGGGGAGCCACGATGCGGGCTGGGCGTTTGTGTCCATTTCTGTCACACAGAAATCCTGACTCTCTGTGATCATAGGAGGAGGCCTTGGAGAGGGGCTTAGCTCCTGAGCGGGGAGCCCTCCCGAATGGGATCAGTGCCCTTATTAGGCGACCTCAGAGAGCTCCATCCTCCCGCTGTGTGAGTGGGGTCAGGCAGCTGTGAACCAGAGGGACTTCCCGCCAGACACCAAACATGCCGCAGCCGTGATCTGAGACTTCTTAGCCTCCATAGCTGGGAGGAAGAGCTACTTGTTGTTTGAGTCCCCCAGGCTGCGGCATTCTGTGACAGCGTCCGAGCCGGTCATCTAGATAGAGCCCACCCAGAACTATCAGACTTATTCCCACTTTAGCTGTCGTTTCCAGGGCCCGCATGAGGTCCGGAAGTTGAAAGGAGCCAAGCTTCGGGACGATTCTCCCCAGTGCCATCTGGGGAGAGCGGGAAACCATCCCCTGGACGTAATGGTCAGGGCTGGTTGGCTGGGTGGGCTCCATGTGGATGGTCGTCGGGGGGCGTGGTGGGCACCGTCACGGGGGCGGGGGGAAGCTTCCCCGGGAGGGGTCTCTCCTGTGCCTCCCGGCTGACACGCTTTCGGCACAGTTTGTCCCTAAAGCAATGTGGACTCTGAAAAAACTAGAACCAGAGGAACAGGAGCCACTGTGTCGACCAGCAGACACGCAGTATCGCTGGTGGGTCTGGAGAACCTGTCCTACCAGGCACAGCTCAGGAGGTCGCGGCTGTTGCCCTGAGATGAGAGGAGGCTGGAGGAGACAGGACAGACGTTTCCCAGCGTGTGAAGGCTTGCCAGGCAGAAGAGAGGAAAGGTGACCGTGAACATGATGGCTACGTACCGGAGGTCTCATGTGCTTGTCTTTATGGGGGAGGCGCTGTCTACTGGCTTTTTTAAATTTTTAACCACAGGGACCTGCGGGAGGGACGTGAAGCTGAAGCTCAGTGGGAAGTGGGTTTGGATAAAGTCGTTGGAAGTTAGAATGCGTTGCCTCTGGACGTAGGGACTTTGTGGTCACTGGAGCTGCCACCGCAGAGGGCCAGACAGCCACATGGTGGAGATGTTGTAGCAAGGATCCCATCAGCTGGCAGGCGCGGAGTCTAGAAATGACCTGAAATGACCACGAGTTTTCCAGCCTCAGTGGGTCTGCCAGACCCTTTGAGCAGAACGCAGTGGCTCTGGGAGGCATCAGCGCGGCGTGAGCAGTGAGGGCGTTTCACACAACTTCTGGGGCGCTTAGCCTCCCCCAGCAGGAGGCCACGGGCTGCTTTTTACTCTGATGTATGAGACAAAAGCAGCTGAAATCTTGAAATCTCTGGGAAGCTGATGGATGACAGTAAGATTTATCAGAGCTCCAGCCAAGAAGTGGTAATGCTGAGAAGAAGGTTGGACTCTCTTGGACCCCAGAGGACTTTGCTGAATTTGTGCTCCCCACGTTCTGAT